AACTGAATGCTTGAGGAAGCTAATGGTTTTGCTTTCATTTTATGATGGATTACACTCTGTACTATAAAGCCAGAATGGGATCAATAGCTTCTTCTGCCTGGAACACCTCCTCGCCTGGAGTGTAACATATCTAATTTAAGATTTATTGGTCAAGCTTTCTTCTCTTACTCAAGGAATAATATATAATGGAAAAAAAAACACCACCCCCCCCAAACCAAAGTACTTTGTAGATGTAATTTCCTCACCATTGTGTTTTAACAAAATTTTAAGTAATTTCCTCAGCTTAAATTCCACAGAAGCAAAAAGTCCATTTAACTTAAGACACATTCCAATTCTCACTTGGTAAAAAGAATCTCCTGATCAGCTCATCTGGAGAAAATGTCTGTGTTTGGAGCCTTGTGCTCTTAGGAGGACTCTTTAGGGACAGTGCAATGTCCCTAAAGTTGCACTGAGTTTGCAAATTAAATACATTGAGAAAAAATTGTTTGGATCATGTAGGGTTTTTTTTCTTGTTCAAGGCAAGCTCACAGGAGTGTTAAAAATAATCTCCATTCTGTATTCTTAGGAACTAGGATGATGATGCATATTGAAGACAACATCATGTTGCAGCACCAAACAGGAAGATTCCAAGCTTCTCAGCATTTCACTCGAAGGAGTAATTTCATACAAGAGAAACATAACCAGAGATTATCTCAGTCTGCCAAGAAACAATTTTTATATTTTAAGGAAGCCTAAGGTGGACAATTTTTTTAGCAATGCAACACTTTTATTGTCTCTAGCTTTCCCCTTTCATATCAGAAACTAGTATTTAGTCATACTAGGCCAGCAACCAGTCCACTTAAGAGTACACTTTATACTCAATTGGCAGAAAGAGTATTGTTGGAACATTTGCGGCTCAAAAAAAAACCAAAAACCTTGCAAAAACAGAGCTTTGGGATCAAAACACATCTGAGACATCAGAAATACATAAAGACTATTTGATGAACCTTTTTTCAGGGCATGAAATGTATCCACATTTTCAAGTTACAATTATATTACATCATTATGGGTTTCCTTCTATTGTTTTTGTTTGTTTGTCTGTCTTTTTGGTTAGTTGGTTTTTTTTTTGGTTGCTGTTGTTTGGCTTTTTTGTTTGTGCTTTTTTTTTTTTATCTTGCCCTTGATGTTACTAAGGGCAAACTCTTACTGAAGCTAGTAGGGCCTTGGCTCAAATTAAAGTCCAACAAGAGATCCATAGGATATAATGAAATCTAAAATACCTACACTTCTCTACACTCACTTATAGAATTCATTTGTCACTCAAAACATCTTACTTAAAACAAGATGTTACTCCTCAAGACACAGAATGCAAAGAGCAAATTGATAATTGCTTCATAGTTCACATCACCAGTTGACTTCTGGGACTATGAGTAATACAAGATACTCAGCTGAGTTTCTAACTGCATGTGAGTTGCTTTTGATAAGTGTCCAGCAAGTCTGAAGCATAAAATCAACACATTGCACAGTGAAATATTCCATCTTAACAGACATGAAAGACATATCTCTTCTCCAACAGTGCAGAGTTGCATCAAAATGCTGCCAGTACTCAGTTATTGTCATCTCAAATACCCCATTAAATGTTTTACTTATTATTTCACAACACACTGAACCAGTATCTTTTTCGGTTGAAAAAAAAAAATCTGCATCAAGAGCCTATTTTTAACTTTTAGTGAATCAAAATACCTTAAGCCTCTCTCACCAAGAACAACCTTCAAGTCTGTATGTGAGACAAACGTGCTTACATCAACACTACTTTCTAGAGCAAATTCTGGTCAAACTTCTTAATGTTAAATTTGTATCATGTTGCTTCCTACTCTCTATTCTTTCCACAGTCTAATTTTCACCTTGCCCGAGATGCATGTACAAATCTTGAATTATCTACTCCTTCCCATCTTCTCATTGCAGATACTAAACATATCATACACCTGTCATGTACATACACCCATCATACACCTTTTATATACATACACCTTTAAAAAGGTACATTTCCCATTAACATATTATAAGTTTCTATTTTTTGAAAAGGCACATGGCATATTATACATTACATACAGACATGTAGGGGTAGCAATGAAAACATACAGCTTTTATTATCTTTAGGGAATGTGAGAAATCTTTTACCTGAGTTGAAAACTTTTTTCTCCCAGATTTCAAAGGTTTGGATCTTTGGAATCAACTATTTCTTGACACAACTGATACAACTTTTTGTACCTCTGTATGTTAACGCATTTCTGCTCTAACAGATATGAGCAATAAGAAAAAAAGACTTTTCAGTTATTCATATTACCCAGAGTTAAAACATCAATGGTTTTATAAGAAGCACTGAGGGGAAGAGAAGGTCTGAAAGTTCCAGGAGCAGCATGGATGACTAAGGACCTCCCTCATCCATACTTCCTCGGAAGTAAACTCATCCCAGCCACATCTACATTCACCACCTTCCCCCAGGTGGTGCTTTTTCTCTGCAACTTCTCCAAAATTAACTAGTGGAAGTACTAAAAAATACTACAAAACAGCCTGGGACCACAAGGGTCTCTTCCTCCTGAGTTGCTGAACTCATTGTATGCCACATCACAGATCAGAAGTTGTTTTACCATTTTATATCAAGATTACATAAGTATTTAAAATTATTAAATTTTAAGAGTTTCAATTATTACATTTTACTAGTTAAAAAAACCCTGAAAATTCCTGCACATATCTGAACACAAAATTCAGGGAGAAACCACAGGAAGACAACATGCCTAGCATAAGAATAAAATAACAGTATGGGGAAGGGGTAAGAATAATTTTCAAGCAGAAACCAAATCAACACTAGTGAGGAAAAGCTTTTCAAAACTGCTGATCCTGCATTTAACAGAAAAATCAGAGCAAGCATGTTCACAATAGTAAAGATATAAAGACTGTTAAAGACAAACACATCTCCAAAGAGAAAAAAAAATGTGCTTTAAGATTCTGTCCATTCCTCAGAGTGACAATGTAAGTTACTCATTACAAGCATCTGTGGTACCCAGAGGGGCCTGTTCACACTCCAGTGAGGTATAAGCATATGGAGGAACAGAAACACCCCCTCCTGTTTCCAGGTGGGAGGCTTCCAGATGTGCTAAGGAGGGCTCTCAAACAAGTTGCGTACAACAGTCGCAGCTGGATAAAACAGACGAGTCACAGAGCATACATCTCTCAAAGAGAGGTAATATCTCCAAGCAACCACTGATAACACAAGGGAGCCCAAGCTGTTTTAGGGACTGAATGCTGTCAGTGAGTTCAGGTGGTGTTACAAGTACTCTAAATTGTGTTAGATAATGTCCTTTATTCACTGTTATTATAGCAAAGTTTGACTGGAAAACTGTACATTTGAGACTAACGTAATACGATTCAGAGACACTTGGAATAAACACCGAATGAAGCAGATCACTCTAGTACATGGTCCCAGAGCAATTCCTAAACACTCTTCAATCACACGTCTCTTCCAGGTATGCAATGCATTTGAAATACATATTAAAGAAGCCCCTTCAAATAACTCCCTTTCCTACTCTGAGCTGAAGAACCTGCATTTCTGTGTTCTCCTGACGAATTCCCATGGTCATTCCACTACTCCCTCCACCTGAAAAGGCCTCACATCACTGTTACATTAAACCTAAAGATTAAGCAAGCAACTTTAATTACTGGTTTACAGGAAACGCAAAGAAATAGCTTTTAACACAGTAAGAAGTAATCCAGATATCTAGCTGTGAAGATTATTCCATATATAAAATACTGCCTTTATTTCATAACATAGACAAAGGTTACCAAGACAGTAAATAGTTAAAAATAATTGTCAATACTGAGCAGGTTAGCAACAATTTTTCAAATGTAAATGTGTTTATATACATTTCTAATACAAACATGCAGTTTTATATACATTTTTAACACAATCATGCAGTAATCCCAGGAAAATCCCAGCATGCTTGTCCTGTTGCTTGTTTTTGGGGAATATAGATACATGTTTCTTACTAGCCCCAAGACTGACTCACATTGAAATACAATGATGTCCCTTCCAGCAGTAACATTTTTTTAACTATGTATTTTTTATGTAATTGCAACAATGCTTCAGGAAGTATCCTGGATAGTCACTGCATTTGTTGAGCTCTCTTCACTTTGGTATTTTTTTAAATTCTAAATCAACGGAAGCAAACATTTAGTGGTTCCTTCACAACCGAATATTTGCACAGATTTACAACTTCTCAATGAGATTTGGACTCCCTAAGCTCTGTAGAGTCTCTAGGCAGACATGTTACTCACAGATGATCCAGGAACTCATTTAAGTAAGTGTTTCTCTCACACGGGAAAACAACGTGCCTGTTACTGGGAAGGAAGTGCAGATATTCACACAGAAGGGGAAAGTTATCGGATGAAAAAACACTGGCCTTATGAGCTCAGTTATTACATTTCTGGTTTGCATATTCTGATAATGGATACTTGCAACACTGCATTCAATTTTAAGGACTACAAATGCTTTTGTGTCAGTGCAGTGACCTCTCCAGAATTTGAATGAGAAAAGAGGCACAAGCAGAACTATTTAACTGCCATTTCGTTCTTACCATAGGTGAACTCAGGATAAAAAAATTAGACCTTCAAAGCTGTCTCTCCCCAGGTACTTTCTGAAGTTCTTCAGCTTATAAAATGTTTTTCAAAAAGTTGAAGGCTTATCAAAACCTACTTGGCTTTCTCCAGTCAGGCTCTGAACCCAGGATTATCTTCCTTTCTCAGCCCTTCTCTGCCTGTCCATAGTCTCCAGACATATCATATTAAGCCATTATAAATCAAATGTGAAAGAGATTATATTTTCCCTCGGCCATTAGCTGTCATTCTTCTCTGCACCCAGTACAACAGTATACAGACAAAACCACCCATCCATAATATGGAAGTATACATTTCTATTACTCCTCTCAGAGGAAATTTCACCTCTCAGTCTCTGCAGCCAGTGTGAAAGGGAGGTTGGACTTGTTTTTGCACTCATGCTATCCCCGCTTATACCAGAAACAATTTGACATTGTGTCAGATGACAGAATAATGTATTCAAGGCTGCCAAAATAAGCAGGTAGGATGCTAAGCAGGGAAGGGGTAGAGGCAAGTTCCTGGTGTCCCTGAGTGAAGTGTCTGATGATAAATTAAGGTAAAATGAAAACTAATGCTACTATAAAATCTAACTCCATGAATACTTCATAAAAATGTATTGAAGCTAATTGCCTACCTTGAACTTAACAATTTTAAGAGACCAGCCACAAGCCATCTGTGAAGCATCTTCTAATTTGAAGATTTCATTTGATATATATTTGTCTCCACTATTTAATGAAGTAGGCTCATTCATTTTTCAACAGGTACAACTTATTTTATGAAGTGTACGTGAAAGGATAGCAGCAATGTAAGGCCGTTCCTTAGATTTGTTTCAAAAAGAGAACACTTAGATATTGTATCTTAAATCTGTTACGAATAAAGCAATAAATACTGCACAGAAATCACTTTAAAATATCATTTAACCCTGCAGCCACTTCCATCAGAACAGTCATGATGGGTGCAGTGCACAGGTTTGACAACCCCATTATAAACTCATCTGATTGAGCTTTCACTGGATTGCCTGTTGCAACAAGGATATCAGGTGGCAAAGAAAGACTACTTTCTCCTTTCTTTCATAGCAGCTGTTGCTATTTTTGACCCTGACACTTTGTGTTTATTACATCTTCATCAAAAGCATTTCTAAAAAGCTGGCTGGGACAGAGATTAACAATCCCTGATGTGTTTCTTAATTGGCGCGTATGCAACATTCTGTCCCTCATCCCATGTCTATTCCCAGAGGCAATCAATATCCATTTCCAGCAAGAACAGCATAATCTACTCCTGCAAACTTCCAGTCGTACTGAGGGCATATTGATCCGTGGCTGCATCTCAGGCTTTGTGTTTACAGGAGTATATGGACATGTCTGAACGAGACCTGTCCTCATTTCAAGCTCACTGTAAACTGAGTAACTCCACTTAATATCACTATGAGAACATGCTGAAATATCATGCTTATACCGTCTTGTTCTTTAGACTCAGCACTGCTCTAGCAACAGCTTTGGCATTTTTAAGCAGCCTGTAAGATGGGTGAGCCTATATCAAGCAATGAGAGATTGCCTAGATACTGTTCCCTGTCAGAAAAACCTGGGTGCAGATTGCAGGGTGTAGTACATACACAGGGCCATCTCCAACAGCTCAAGACTCCTCAATACCCCTGCTATAACGGCATTATCAGGGCCCTGGGCTGAGTCTTCTGCAGGAAGTCTCTCCTTTCAGCTTGAATCCAGCCTCTGAACCTGCAGAAACCTCCAGCTGCCTGCAGAAACAGTACTGGGGAAACAGTGCCAGTAAAATCAAACAGAAAGAAAGAACTTGCTGGAGTGTTATTACTGCTGAAACTGAAGATGACAGCATTTCCTCAGATACACACACAGACTGTAAGGTAGAGCTGGCATTCTTCTTATCCCTGAGAGATACTTGCGTATTCAACAAGAAAAAAAGTTAATGATGTCTCAGTGCAAGACATTTGAATGCTTAGCTGAAAAGTCCAAACAGTTCTTTTTCTCTTACAGGTTTGGACTGTCTCCTGGTAGTTAAAAACAATAATAAAATTTGAAATTTAATTTCAGTTAATAGTCACCCAAGCCACAAGAATGGGAACAGTGACAAAGAGCTAAAGCACACCCAAATCACTGACAAAAGGCTCTGAATTTTCAGCAAAGAGTAAACAAAAGACTATGGCTGCATACTGGAAACAATAGAAATGTGTAAATTTCTGTAAATCACATGCTGCTAAGAGCTTCAGATCTATTTGATATGATGGAGGGAAGGAATGCCATCCAGAGGGACCTTGACACACTTGAGAGCTGGGCTGATGCCAACATTATGAAGTTCAACCAAGCCAAGTGCAAGGTCCTACACCTGGGTCGGGGCAATCCCAGGCACAGCTAAAGGTTGGGCAGAGAAGGGATTCAGAGCAGCCCTGTGGAGAAGGACTTGGGGATATTGGTCGATGAGAAAATGAACATGAGCCAGCTTCAGTGTGCACTCACACCCCAGAAAGCCAACCGTATCCTGGGCTGCACCAAGAGGAGCGTGACCAGCAGGTCGAAGGAGGTGATCCTGCCCCTCTACTCTGCTCTCATGAGACCTCACCTGGAGTATTGTGTACAGTTCTGGTGTCCTCAACATAAAAAGGACATGGAGCTGTTGGAACAAGTCCAGAGGAGGCCACGAGGATGATCAGGGGTCTGGAGCATCTACCATATGAAGACAGGCTGAGAAAGTTGGGGCTGGCTGTGTAGAGACCTCATAGCAGCCAGCAGCCTTCCAGTATCTGAAGGGGGCCTATAAGGATGCTGAGGAGGGACTCTTCATTAGGGACTGTAGTGATAGGACAAGGGGTAATGAATTCAAACTTATACAGGGGAAATCTAGGTTATATATATAGAAGTTCTTTACTCTGAGGGTGGTGAGGCCCAAGGTTGCCCAAGGAAGTTGTGAATTCTCCATCCCTGATGGTGTTCAAGGCTAGGTTGGACAGAGCCTTGGGTGGCATGGTTTAGTGGGAGGTGTCTCTGCCCATGGCAGGGGGGTTGGAACATGATGATCTTAAGGTCCTTTCCAACTGTAACTGTTTTATGATTCTACGATTTTATGAAAAACCATGATAACTGGTGCTTTAAAAATATAAAAAGGCGACTGATAGAGCAGCACATTTGAATTGGTAAGGAAAAAAATAATAAATCAGCATGCTTCTTATAACTAGGTATGATTTCTCATGATACAAATGTGCCTTGAAGAGTCACATTACCACAGTGTTATTACACCAAATAACTCCTGACCCCTAGGTCACAAATTAAGCAGAACTACAACTCTACTTAAATCATAATACACCTCTCATTTCATAGAGGAATCTCATTATGAAGGTCATAATTGCAAATTGCCCACCACACACATTAGGCAGAAGTTGGATTTATTTTAAATTAAAAAGTAGCATTTTTTTATACCCCACCAGCATCCTTCAAGAGTTATTAAAACATTTTGGAGAGCTCTACTTTTAGTTTGTCTTCAACTTTTGTACTGTAGAAAAACAAATTACTTATTTGAATTAACATTCTTGATACATTTTACAAGATGAGCATATCTCTTGGCTTCTCTTCTCTCAGGATATCAGAAAGTTAAGTTTGACCTCACCACCATAGAATACCAGAAGAAATTTAAGAGCCTACTGTTAAAAACTGATTCAAAACAATATTTTCATCAGATTAGGGGTTACTTTGCCTGCTACATAAATTTTAACATATTCATCCAAATACGTACTTATTCATAAGAAATGTATTACTAGTCCTGACAAAATGTAAACAGTTTTCATAACCCAAAGTGCAAGACAGGGAGAATGTTTCCAAAGTACCCTGCTTCTTCAAAGTACTAGTAAAATTTTATTTTTTTTTTTTTTACCTATCCCATGCACACCACACAATATAGGCAACAGTACTTATGTCCAAAGTTGCAAAGCCAGGATCTTTTTCCTGCCAGGATGAGGCTATTTGTCAACACCTCACATATGCTGGTTTCAGAAAAAAAAAACCATGGTACCCCATGAGTAATCAGCAGACTAAACAGTAAGCTCCTGCACCACAGATTAAGTGGAGATACTGTGGTCTAATGCTGACGTTGTGGTACTGAAACACCAAAGTCAGTCATCTAGACTCCCACCAAAGTGGGCTCTGTTATATCAAACAGATCTATATACTGGACACTTGTTTTATTTCCATTTTGCATGGACTTTGCCAGGAGAATATTCATTGTTGAAAGGATTCATTCAGTAAAGATTCTTGAGTTTTTTTCCTGCAACTTCTGAGCACCTATGTATATGCAATAGTGCACAATGATCAGAACATCGCTGTCCACAAGACCTGGTAATAACATAGAACAGAATATTTCTAAGAATAGAATATTTCAGTTAGAAGGGACTTGCAGTATATCATCCATCATTTTTATCCCACAACAATTTAAAATGTTTGACTGACTATGTACAAGTAACACTTAATCCACTGAAATAAAGTCCACAATAATTAAATTAATTAAGGACAGAATTGAAGACTAAGGATAAAACTTTGAGAACATTGTCCTTTTTTAAAGCTTATAACATTTTTTAAAGGCCATAAAAGCTAACTGTGGAAGAACACTTAAAGACAGAAAAATAAACAGTAAAAAAAAATGAGATGAAATTGAAGGAATATAATTTAGATCCTGACTCAAAGCATTCAAAGTGAATGAGTGCCTATCAACTTCCATGGATTATGCATTCATTTTTTACTGATCTAGTAAGACATTTTGCTAACAACGCACAGAAACATAGCAGAGCATAAAATTATTTTTTGAACATTTAAATCTTGAGGAAATTTTTTCCTTCTCTAATTAACCAAGACAGAAAAACATCTATGCAACTAGCTCTCACAGTGTGCAACGTGTGTTCTATTTGTCTAATGCAACATAACAACAGTTTTTATTTAAATTCAGTAGTAAGTGTCAAAAAAAAATCACATCCTTGCATAAATTCTCATGCTGTAAAATCAGGGTGAAGAACAAACAAATCCAATATTTTACATAAACCATAAATACTGAAACCTCAGCCAAGAATTTTAAGTGCAGTTCAACAAGTGATAACGAAATTCTGTTCTCAAACTGCCGAAGTCATTCTGAACAAATGCTAATAGAGAATGAACCATCATGAGCTGTTAGCCTAATTCCTTTTTGCACAGAGAATTTTTTGTTAATTGTCCCTCTATTGTCTTGGACAAAGGTACAGAATAAATTTTAGAGCAACTTTCCAACTATAGTATACTAATAAGATTTTCACTTGGAGCAGCCAGCATTTAAAATAAAAGGCTAACAACTGACAGGAGATGAACAGAAGCCCCCTAAACTTAAACCCTTCCTGCAGACCAAAATGCATTGTCTAATTTCACTGCAGCAGCACTTCACAAGCAAGCCACAGGTTATGAACTTATTGCAGAAAAGCCATTATTGAAAAGTAAAACTGAATAAAGCTGATCAATAGGGACAAACTGGAGTGTCATTGGAAAATAAAGGGGACACATCATCAAGATGGACAGGTGACATGTATGCAGAAGAGTCACTGTCATGATTTGTAGAGCTTAAGTAAAGTGTTTGAATGACTGGGGCTGACATATGTTCCTAGAAATTTTGTTGTATCTAATATGGGGTCAAGATGGGAAAAAAGCATACAGAAGTGTCTGTTTAAAGGGAATGGACCTAGGCAAAGTTCCCTTTATGGTTAAAAGACAATGTGAAAAGTGGAAAGTGAAGTAAGGTCCTCTGAAGGTGAAGTTAAAATACTTGTTGTGAAAGAAAACCAGGAGCCTGCAGAATGCAAAGAGAAGTTAAAAGTGGTAAAAAGCATCAGCAGTACACAATCTTTAGGCAGTATTGTCAAATCATACATGAATTTGTTACAAGAATTGGGACATTAAGTTTTGAAAGCCTGCTCAGGGAGCAACAGAGCACAGCACGCATTTTATACATGTTTTAGAGAAAGAATCTGAAAAGCCCAAATTAATGCAACATAAGCAAACCTGATAGATGAGGTTATATATGCTCAAGTCACACTTCACAAGAGAAGCAAGCAAGCAACCATGTCACTTGGAGAAAACAGCTGAGGCAGAGTAACACAGTTTAGTTATTTTAAGCTTGATCGGACAGCAAAGAGATGGATGGGATAGATAGATCAAGGTGTTCATTCAAAAAGAAAACAATTCTGAAAGACAGCTAAATCTAAGGGCTGTTCACATGAAGGAAATTCTGTCAACAGATTCGTAGCAAATCATTTGTTTCCCAGACCTGCAATCACAACTCTTTTCATAGGCAGTTACACCTGCGTACAAAACATCATATTTGGAGAAAATGAAATTATCCCAGTTCAGTATTTCCTTTCCAGAAAGCTTTCTCCTCATACACCTCTCTGGCTATAAAAAAAATAAGAAAGTAAGGGCACAGACATCTTATCTCTGGGCCCTCTGCATAAAATACACTCCCTAGAGTAACAGGGCAAAACAGCACCAGATCCTTTTTCTCACTGTTCAAATTCAGTAGATGCCAAGCATTCTGCAGACAGTTTCACTTGCAAAACTATTGTGCATGAGTTTTGAAAGCCACCTGCTGACTTCAGAACCTGTGTTTTCATATGTATGTCAAAACCCACATACCCTTCACTCAGCAAATTAAAGATTCGCAAGTGTGTATTTCCAAGAGCTCAAACCATCCTGACAACCACAATGTTCATTATGGCAA